GCACCACACACACACTCTGCTCCGGTCCAGAGACACGATAGCACGGAGCGGATCACATGCGAGAGTCGGTGCAGACCACAAAATGTATCGGAGCTATTTGAATTTTACACCGAATTTTATAGCAATATGGATGAGATTGTGGCTGGCATATCCTGTCAAATGCGGCTTTACGGAGCTCAACGGCTCTGAACGGCTCTAGCCCAAGCGGTGATAAACGAACACTATTAGCTATTTTAAAAAGGGGCGGGGCTGCTTGATATGTCCCGCCCTGTCTTCCTGTTTCAGTTCAAATGACGTCAACACAGAGTAACGCTGCGTGTTTCTAAGCATTTCAGGGGACCTTTAAGATTAAAACCATAATCTGCATGCTGAGGAAGCATTAGTTGTGTAAAGGAGAGCAGAGATGTTCATAGTTCCTTTGTTTCTGCACAGGTGACAAATCGATACATGTCTCAACTGAAAGATGCACACAAGTCACATCCATTTATTAAGGAATATATTGCTAAGGTAAGGTTATTTAGTGTGAGACGGGACATCTTGTTCTGTTATTCTTTTTTGAGAGCATATTGTGAAGGCATTATTTGAGTAACTGTGAAAAAATGAAGTACTAAGTTTAATAAAGACATTGTAAACTCAATTATGTTCCCACAGGAGAATGAATTTGACAGGCTTGCCATGCAGTACGCCCCCAGCGCCTGAAGAACTAGTTTGAATTTGTCTCCTAAAATGCAACACATTATTTTTCCTCTTTACACTTTTTTTTTTTAAATGCCTTTAAACAAAATAACATTAATCTGTTTGAGATTTGTTTGCTCTGTCTTTTTGATATGCCCAAAAGCTCTACAAACATTCCTGTATGATGGTTAAATAAATGTTTATCATACATAGTGTTTTTATGGTAATGAATATTCATATTGTGATTTTAAAAAAAGTGCAAAAGCTGTGTGAAATGTCTTCATAACACATCAGTTCACCATACTGATTGTCAGTTCATACAAAATAATAATATGGGGTATCTTTAGACCATAAACAATAAATTATTCTTAATTGAATGTACTTATAATCAGCATTGTGTAATGTCACAGTATTGATATAAATGAAAGTTACTGTAAAAAGTGTTGCCCTATACAGACGTGTAACCTCTTATCATCAAATGCTCCAAACTATTGTTTTGTTTTAACTAGATTTGAGATTACAAAACAGTAACGGACAGCTCATTTCTCATGTTCTTTCTTTGGGAGCTTGTATAGCACAGACGCCTTTAAATGACAGTTTTTCACAATTGCCAAGGCATTTCCTGAAACCTTTACCCTATTTATCACAACTTTAAAAACAATACCAGTTTGTCAAACTAAAATTAACAAAACAATTTCTATAAAAATGTTTTTATAAAGATTACAGAGCATTCATTAGACACTTCATCAAAAATGGAGAGCACAGCACTTGGGGCATGTTTATACTGAATTTAGATTTTTTTTTGTGTGTGTGTGTATTTAGTAAATGCATTTTGCAATAAAAAAGTATAGGAATCACTTAATACTATAGGAAACTGAATACTGTGAATATACTGTATATTTGAAGTACGGAAGGTAATACAGTATTAAATGTCTGTATATTCAACCCTTGCAAACTAAAAATACAGGAGTGCAACTTCAAAAGTTCAAAGAATACTAAATGAAAAGCATGCTAGAGTATAGAATATACTCTGCCTCTTCATCACATCTTCGAGCTGGGTCTGGCTCTGGCCAGGGCCCAGAGGACATTGTCCACATCACAGCCAATGTTGCTCCTTGGTTCCCACAGGAGAATGAATTTGACAGGCTTGCCATGCAGTACGCCCCCAGCGCCTGAAGAACTAGTTTGAATTTGTCTCCTACAATGCAACACAATATTATTTTTCCTCTTTACACTTTTTTTTAAATGCCTTTAAACAAAATAACATTAATCTGTTTGCGATTTGTTTGCGCTGTCTTTTTGATATGCCCAAAAGCTCTACAAACATTCCTGTATGATGGTTAAATAAATGTTTATCATACATAGTGTTTTTATGGTAATGAATATTCATATTGTGATTTAAAAAAAAGTGCAAAAGCTGTGTGAAATGTCTTCATAACACATCAGTTCACCATACTGATTGTCAGTTCATACAAAATAATAATATGGGGTATCTTTAGACCATTTCCGATAAATTATTCTTAATTGAATGTACTTATAATCAGCATTGTGTAATGTCACAGTATTGATATAAATGAAAGTTACTGTAAAAAGTGTTGCCCTACACAGACGTGTAACCTCTTATCATCAAATGCTCCAAACTATTGTTTTGTTTTAACTAGATTTGATATTACAAAACAATAACGGACAGCTCATTTCTCATGTTCTTTCTTTGGGATAACAGCTTGTATAGCACAGACGCCTTTAAATGACAGTTTTTCACAATTGCCAAGGCATTTCCTGAAACCTTTACCCATTTTCTCACAACTTTAAAAACAATACCAGTTTTTCAAACTAAAATTCACAAAACAATTTCTATAAAAATGTTTTTATAAAGATTACAGAGCATTCATTAGACACTTCATCAAAAATGGAGAGCACAGCACTTGGGGCATGTTTATACTGAATTTAGATTTTTTTTGTGTGTGTGTGTATTTAGTAAATGCATTTTGCAATAAAAAAGTATAGGAATCACTTAATACTATAGGAAACTGAATACTGTGAATATACTGTATATTTGAAGTACGGAAGGTAATACAGTATTAAATGTCTGTATATTCAACCCTTGCAAACTAAAAATGCAGGAGTGCAACTTCAAAAGTTCAAAGAATACTAAATGAAAAGCATGCTAGAGTATAGAATATACTCTGCCTCTTCATCACATCTTCGAGCTGGGTCTGGCTCTGGCCAGGGCCCAGAGGACATTGTCCACATCACAGCCAATGTTGCTCCTTGCCAGGCAACGGGCAAAAAACTATCTGGTGTTGCGAATCCAGTCTTGACAACACTTCGCACCCGTGTCACCACATGCCAGTTCAGGCCAGTCTATTGCCCGAAAGAGATTTTCTCTGATACTTGTACCACCTTTTTCCTGAATGCCGAAGTCTCGTCCAAATGGAACGATGCTTGTCTCTGGTGTTTCTAGTCAAATAACGTTAAACCTATGAAATATTGTTTTAAAAAGCACATGGCGCCATAATTTCGTCACTTTACAGTGTCGCAATGACCGTATTTTTGCAGTAACCTAGTTTAATGAGTGGGTAGATGAAACGACGTGCTGTTAACCGCATTGACAACAGATGAGCGCACATATCCAACATACAACTCCCGATCGGGGTGAAGTTAGGTGGATTTTGTCCAAAATTATAATAAACAAAAGTTATCAAGAGCAATTTTTGAAGGGGACACAAATAATACAGCTAAAATTGTACTTGAAAGGATATGTATACACGGAGGAAAGCCTTACTACTATTAGTGCAGCAGGGAGACCGTGCCAAATTAGACAACTTAAAGCTGTCGTGATCGCACCGCGACAGCACTTGTGTCCGTTGTAGACATTACAATCCGTCACAGTGTTGCCAAGCCTGTGGTTTTCCTGTGGAATTGGGCTACTTTATCACTGGTGTCCCGAGTTTTTTTTTTTATGTCTGCGGGTTGAAGCGACCCCAATAACGTGTATTTTAGCCTCCGGAACGCTGATTTTTACCAGGGGACCCTCTCAAAACGTGGTTAGTTGCAAGGTCGGACTTAGTGATTTGGGGGCCCTAAGCAAATGTCAGGTATGGGGCCTAATGAGTGGGTAGATGAAACGACGTGCTGTTAACTGCATTGACAACAGATGAGCGCACATATCCAACATACAACTCCCGATCGGGGTGAAGTTAGGTGGATTTTGTCCAAAATTATAATAAAATTTATCAAGAGCAATTTTTGAAGGGGACACAAATAATACAGCTAAAATTGTACTTGAAAGGATATGTATACACGGAGGAAAGCCTTACTACTATTAGTGCAGCAGGGAGACCGTGCCAAATTAGACAACTTA